AGCACTGCAGCAACACCGCAGCCCCAGTGCACAGCACAGCCCGCACAACACACCAGGTAAGGGCTGCGAGGGCATGGGTGCGACGGGATGGGGATGGGATGCTATGGGTCAGGACGCTGCACAAAACGCGCGGGACCAGCAGTGTGTGCCCCCACCGCAGCCTGGGCAGGGTGGCTCTGGCTCTGCCCTGGTCAGGATGGTTCTGTCTGGGCAGGGTGGCTCTGGCTCTGCCCTGGGCACGGTGGCTCTGGCACTGTCCTGGGGCACTACAGGGACAGGGTGGCTGCGTTTTCCTGAAGCAAACCTTCAGCAAAATCCCCCATCCCCATTTAAAGAAGCCCGTCTGCGGGTCTGCGGGGAGCTCAGGGAGCCCAGGGAGCTCTGCCCCCACAGCAGCTGGATCGAACTCACGTCCCTCTCCCTTCTGTTCCAGAAACCTCACCAGACCCCGCTGCTGCCGAGCTGAGATGGAAACCATGCACGAGCTGATCCCCTTCGCCAAGGAGATGCTGAGCCAGAAGCCCAACAGGAAGATGGTCAAGCTGTACATGCTGGGCAGCGTGCTGGCCTTCTTCGGGGTGGTCATCGGCCTGGTGGAGACCGTGTGCAGCCCCTTCAGCTCCCAGCCCAGCCTGGAGGACGAGGAGGACAAGAACAAGGCCGGGGCAGCCCGGGAGCAGCAGCAAAGGGAGGATTTGGTGCTGGCCAAGGGCAAGGCACAGCCGGCGCTGCAGAGGGCCCTGGTGACCCGGCAGCACGCGTCCTAGGCTGATCTGCACACAGAGACTCCACCAGGGGGGTTCCAGCACGCAGGGAAGGCTCGGCCCGAGGAGGCTGCACGTCTGACACCCGCCACAAGCGAAGGGCTTTATTTGCTGCTGTGCAGCAGTGGGGAAAAATACCTTTTGTTGGTATAAACCTGTGCGCCATGCACAGCGTGGTTTCTTATTTTTCATACGGACGCGTTTTACACCATTTTGCAAGATCAATAAATATTTTATATGGTACTCGTGTTCTCTCTTGCTGCTGTTATTGTCAGAGCCTTCTCGTGCTGCTTTGCTGAGGTTTTGGTCACAGCTCTGGCTCCTTTTGCGGGGCAGGGGGGACACGGGGGACAGTGGAGGAGATAAACGCAGAGAGGCGGCTCTGGGGCTGGTCAGTCGGTCTGTCGGTCTGTCTGTCCCTCCGCTCCCTCCCCAGGGCCCAGCTGGCCAGGAGGTGACATTTGTGTCACACGGGTGCCACGGTGTTGGACTCAGGGGTTATCTGGGTTCAGTGGCACAGATCTGTCCCTGCCATGGCCACGTGTGCTGAGAACTGGTTTAAAATAAACCAAAACCCCACTCTTGCCCTGGCGGCCCTCCAGCAGGCTCCAGCTGCTGCACAGCTAAAAATCCTAAAGCCAAAATCAAAATCCTTCCACCTTCCTGGGATCTTTCACAAACCCTAAAGCCAAAACCCTTCCACCTTTCTGGGATCTTTCACAAAGCCTAAAATCAAAACCCTTCCACCTTTCTGGGATTTTTCACAGAGCTGCCACAGACACCTGAGTGTGCAGGGTAGTGCTGGATTCCAGAGTCACAGGGTGACACAGATGGAAAAACACAGAGATGGCACAGCCTGGAGGGTGTGGAAACTGTTCCAGGCTCCAGGCTCCACTCAGAGCCCTGCCAGGACCATTAGAGGACTTTCACCTATTTCAAAAATGTTCTGGGGCTTAGCAAGAATCTGTTGCATTTGGGACTGTGTCATGTCAGTCAAATAAAGTCTGCAGCCAGCCAGGGCTGAGTGATCCTGACCACACTGCAGGGGGAGGGCAGCAAACAGGCCCTGCCAGTCCTGACCAGGGCAGGAAATCTCCTTATCAGCTCAAAGACACCCTCAGGACAAGGGTGGCAGCACACACAGCTCATGGAAACTGGAGATGCACCAGCAGCGCGCCACTCTCAGCTCACAGCAAAGCACTGGGCCAAGCACTGGATCATGGAAAATGGGAAAGCCCTGCCAGACCTCAGTGCCCAGGGCACAGATCCTACATAAGAGCAGGACCTGAAAATACCAGAATACGGCTGAAGTTCACTATTTCATTTTCATAATACACAACCCACAATTCATTTTGTTGACGATTATTTCTGTTACCCAAACAAACCCAGCAGCACGGAGCGGAGAAAGAATCCTACCCAGTATCTGCCCAAAAATCTGTTCAAGCTTTCAAATTTAAAGTACTTTTTCCTCATTAAAATTATAGGTTTTTTAAAAAATAGTGTTTGAGAATTACCTCATTTTGTCTGTAACTAAATGGATTCAGTCTGTAACTAAATGAATTTAGTCTGTAACTAAAAGTATTTAGTCTGTAACTAAAAGTATTTAGTCTGTAACTAAATGCCCTTTGGCAAGGCTGCACTTGTCCTTCTCTGGCAAGGCTGAACAATCCCCCCTCACCCATACTGATGGGAGTTTCATGGGAAAACTGGAGAATTCAGGCCTGAAGGGATCCACCAGCTCCATTGCCCTGCCCATCCCAGCTTTTAAAGAGGTTTCACATTCCCAGCAGGGAAGGCTGGGCTGGAATTCCTGGGCACACCTGGTGTGAGGACAGCTCAGGGAGATGGGGGCTGTGGCTGTGGCTGTGCCTGGGGGATGGAGGCGCCCCCAGGGCTGCTGTGTCTGCCAGGTCACAGCCAGGGGACAGTCCTGGGCAGCCCAGAGCTGTGTCCATCACCTCAAAGGATCAATCACAGCCAGGGGACAGTCCTGGGCAGCCCAGAGCTGTGTCCATCACCTCAAAGGATCAATCACAGCCAGGGCACAGTCCTGGGCAGCCCAGAGCTGTGTCCATCACCTCAAAGGATCAATCACAGCCACGGCACAGTCCCAGCCCAGCCAGGTGCCCCCCCAGACCCCCCAGGTTTTTTGCTGCCCTGCTGCTGCTCCTCCTCCTCTGCCCAGGGCTGCAGCCCCGAGGTGATGAGCTTAAAGCAAAGAGGGTTGGGAGCAGTCAAAATAGCTGCTCCTAAGTCAGCTAAGGGGATTAGACAGCTAAAGCACAGCCCTGCTCCTGCCCTGTCCCTGTCCCTGCCCTGGGCTGGGCACTGCACCCAGCTCACCCTGCAGGGCCAGCCTGGGGCCAGCCCGGGCTCTGCCACAGCCCCGGGCACTGCAGGGACCTGGCACCCTCTGCAGAGGGGGAATTAGACCAGTATGGATCCCTGATTTCACCCCACAGCATCCCACAGCACCCCAGGCCATCCCACAGCATCCCACAGCATCCCACAGCATCCCATAGCACCCCAGGTCCCACAGCACCCCACAGCATCCCGGAGCACACGGGGCCGTGGCCACAGCCCCTGCAAGGTGCCAATTGCAAAATTGTTTAATTATAGACACTGGGATAGAGCAAAGAGAAACCAGATGGGACCAGTGAGCAGCTGGGGAGAGCATTTAAGGCTGAGTTACCCCCAGACCCCGCAGGACAAACTCCTGGGCACAGCCACACATTGCCCCAGGGCTGAGTTACATTGCGGGCTCCCATGAGGATGATTTCTGTTGTTCCGAGACTTGTCTGAATATGATTTATTCCAACCTGTGAACGTGATACTTCCCTGGTACATTAAATTCTCAGGAAGAATGCAGCTGGCACAGAATCTGGTGAGCCGTTGTGTGCAGCCATCTCTCAAAGATCTGATTTCAGCCTGGAGCTGCCATCCAGCCCCTCATCCCAGGAGCTGAAGCCTGTCCAAGGCAGGGCTGGATGTGTTCAGAGCCCTCAGTGCTATTTGCAGTGGACGTGGACACTGCAGGGCTGCCAGGCTAAATTTAGGGGTGCAGATAAGGATGTCAGCCCCAAGGGCACTGAGAACATGGACAGGGGCCAGGGCTCCCAGCAGCCGCTGTTCAACAATGGAATTCCAAGGCATCAATTCCCAATTTGGTCACACACGGAAAAAACACAGATTTAGGGCTTGGAAACGACTTAAACATCACAGTGTTTGCTGTAAACCAGCAGTGGGCAGAAATGTGATGTCAAAGCAAAGCCATTCTCCAGCCCTCTCATCTCCCTTGGGACTGGGAGCGCACTTCCAGTGGTGCAGGCTGGCAGCCATGGGGGCTGCAGGATGTGCAAGGAGAAAAGGAACTGAGGGCAGACCCTGATATTGTGATGGCTCTGTCTGCAAAGAAAGGAATTAGAGCTCTGTTCATGGCAAAGGGCACTGGGACAGCCAGGGAGGAAAAATAACATATTAATGTCTATGAGATAAAGGAAAGCAAGAGGGGAAAGGAAAAATAAAAAATAAAAAATAAAAAGGAAAATCCTCTGCATTTGACCAAGATTTGAAAAAAAACCAAATATCACTCAAAAAAAGGAAAAAAAAAAAAAAGCGGAATCCAAATTCCTGCCAAGTGTTTTCAGCCTTGGAGCTGCCTGCACAAACCTGCCTGAGCTGGGCCTTGGAACGAGCTCCCTGCAGGGCTCCCCGAGCTCCCTCTCCCCTCTGCTGGGTCTGGCAGGACAAATTCATGCCCAGAGCAGGCGGCAGAGCAGGAGCATCCCCTGGGAGCACAGCCCCAGCTCTGGGCACAGCTCTGGGTTCTGGGCACAGCCTTTGGCACAGATCTGGGCACAGCTCTGGGCACAGCCCTAGGCACAGATCTGGGCACAACTCTGGGCATAGCTCTGGGCTCTGGGCACAGCTCTG